TGCTCCCATTTCCAATTGTCAGATTCCTGAGAGGTAGGGAGATTCCCAGGTCACTGGCTCCAACTTGCCAGTCAGGGCCCAGATCCCCATAGCACCTGCCAATACCACTGCCTGATCAGCTCCAGGGACCAGCAACTCATTTCTTTACTGGGTGATTGACTCCATTGTTAGGAATTTTTTAGTATCCATCACTTCCAGGTCTTTTCAATGAAAAACTGTCCTATATTGTATCATATTTTTTCTTGCCTATTGAAAGTGAAGTGAAGGTACTAAATAAAAACGACACGGAAGTGTGAGATGATGTGGGACATCGCAGGGAAAGTGAGCCTGTGGCCCAGGTGAGGAAGGATGTGGAGATTCCTGAGTCAATAATAATGGTTGAAAGCAATGGCCTCGGCCAGGGGAGCCAGAGGTGATGCAAAACAATTTGCAGACAAATGCAAACTAAGCCCCCATGGGCACATAAAACATTTGGTCAGCACTGGGGGCAGAGTAAGGGCTAGGGCGAGGGTGAGAAATGGAGTGAGAGAGAGATGAGATCAAGGTGAGGGACAGGGAAAAAGCCAGGGATGACATAAAGGCCTTCTGGCAAATGACCTGGCCTCTGGGACAGGCTTTTTAAAACGGCTGCATTAACGCCTGTATTACAAAAGGGCAATCCTCAGTCAAGTCACTGAGGCAGGAAGAGGAAGTGAAGTCAGAAAATGATATGGTTAGAGCTACCAGGACCAAGGGTGAGAGGGTTTTAGGAAGGCAAGGGTGTTTGGCAGGGCCAAGGGTCTTCAAAAAGCCAAGGAGAATAGGAGGAGAAAAGCCTGTAGGACCTAGTAAGGTCGGGGCCTGGGGACTCGAGATTTGGGACCTGCGTAGTCCTGGGAGCTATAGGGGCTTAGGAAGGAGGGAGGGTGAGGCAGCAAGGAAGCCTGGGGTGCTGGTGAGCGATGGAGAGGACATTGAACAACCAGGTGGATTAGGATGGAGGGAAAGGAGCCGTTGGAGCCGCAGAGGTTGACGGTATGGGTGAGAGCGGTTTGGAGAGGAGAGGACAGCCTCAGTAGCCATTCAGATAAATATCTGAGGTACAGAAAGGAGGCAGGGTGCAACTGAGGGGCGGGGGAGTATGGATAAAAGATATGCGGAGGCAGAGGGGTGAGGGAGAGCATACAAAGCAAGTGATTATTTTCTCAATATACAAGGAACCAACAGTGAAGGGAGGGACACCAGGACTCAGATCAACGAGTTGGAGCAGAAAGAAGAATAAACATTCCCCAGAACAGAATGAAAACACAAGAACTCAAAAAAATGAGAAGAGGCTTAGGAACCCCCAGGACAACTTTAGATGTCCCAACAGCCAAATCATAGGGGTGCCAGAAGGAGAAGAGGAAGAGCAAGAAATTGAAAACTTATTTGAAAAAATAATGAAGGAGAACCTCCCCAGTCTGGTGAAGGAAATAGACTTCCATGAAGTCCAGAAAGCTCAGAGAGTCCCAAAGAAGTTGGACCCAAGGAAGCGCGCACCACGGCACATCATAATTACATTACCCAAGATTAAGGATTAGGAGAGAATCTTATAAGTAGCAAGAGAAAAGGAGATAGTTACCTACAAAGGAATTTGCATAAGACTATCAACTGATTTCTTAAAAGAAATGTTACAGGCAAGACGGGGCTGGAAATAAGTATTCAAAGTCATGAAAGGCAAGGACCTACATCCAAGATTACTCTATCCAGTGAAGCTATCATTGAGAATGGAAGGGCAAACAAAGTGCTTCCCAGATAAGGTCAAGTTAAAGGAGTTCATCATCACCAAGCCCTTTTATATGAAATATTAAAGGGACTTATCTAAGAAAAAGAAGAAGATCAAAAACTATGAAGAGTAAAATGACAACCGACTCAAAACTATCAACAACTGAACCTAAAAACAAGAACAAAAACAAACTAAGCAAACAATTAGAACAGGAACAAAATCACAGAAATGGAGATCACATGGAGGGTTATGGGGGGGGGCGCAGAGAATGAGGGAAAAGGTAAAGGGAATAAGAAGCATAAATGGTAGATACAAAATAGACAGGGGAAGGTTAAGAATAGTATAGGAACTGGAGAGGCCAGAGAACGTCTATGTGCAACCCATGGGCATGAACTAAGGGAAGGGGGCGGGAATGCTAGTGGGAACAGGGAAGGAGGAAGGGAATAAAGGGGAGAAAAAAAATGGGACAGCTGTAATAGCATGATCAATAAAATAAACTTTTTTTTAAAAAAGTTATTTTCTTGATTGTAAATGAACCTGAGAGGTCTTTAGAATATCCCGAACACCCGAGTCAAATGTTCTTAGCTGACACTGTGACTTCCCCTGGAAAACCTGAAAAAAAATGCTGGTGCCCATGTTTCAAAAGAAAGTTAGGAAGTTTTATAAAGAGAAGGGAGGGCAGAGTGGTCTGACACAAATATGCGCATCTAGGATTTAGGAGTCCTGGGTGTGGCCTCACAAAGCTAATGCAGTTGGGGTTTCATGTAGTTTTGGGAACTAACAGAGAAGGTGATGTTATTTTTGTCATCAGAGGCACCACTGGCCAGAAACAAAGAGAGTGTAGAGTGTGTGGCGAGGGGGCGGCGGGGGCGGGGGGAGGGGGGGCGGGCAGTTAAGGTAGTCAAATAATCCACAATCATTACCATTGGACCTTGGACGGCATCTTGACATTCTCTTTTGAAAAGGGGTGAGTTATGTATGATTCTAGAACTTGCTTCTCACCAAATCGTGGAACTGTGCAGGGAAGATTCAGCTGTGAAGGGGCTTCCTGGCCTGCTCCCTGTGAACTCTGTCTGTGATCAGCTGTCCGGGAATGAAGCGGCTGAGGAGGAGCTAACCAGGGCATTATTTAAAGGGAGTTAGGGGGTGGATGAAGGTGAGGGTTAGTTTTTGAATTTTAATTTGGGTCTTTATGATTAGCTATTGTGATAAATATATATATTTTCTAAAATTTGCCTTTCTCTTTCTATGGAGTTGGTCTCTATACTGGACGTAAACCAGTGATAAAATAGGTGAAGTGGATGAGGGAGCCTGATCCTGTTTGCACTCCTGGGGCTCCAGGAGCTGGTTGCCACGCTGAAGTTTCTTTCTTGCCTACCAGGACCTAGGTCAAAGGCAAAAAGTGAGTTTACTTTAAAAATTGTTAGATACCTATATGGATTATATGGGGGCACCTTGCCTCCTAGACCTGAGGGCTGAACACATACCCTCCCCGACTTTTTCTTCCCTCCTCACTCTCAATTTTTATCACATCTTTTCTTCTGGGAGTCATTAAAGAACTTTCATTCAGAAGGCTTTTCTGGAGTTTTGCCTTATATAATCTGGAGGGCATTCTAACACTGATAAGAGCAAGAGTGGGCTAGTTTGAAAGTTAGTTGAGAAGAAATTAGTCACAGAAGAGCTGAAAGAGCAGATAAACCCCCAAAGCACAAAGCTGGGGCCAGCATGGGTAAAAATTCCAGGTCTCAGGTCCCACCTGGGGCAGGTCTCGGAAACTGTAAATTCAGCATCGTGTGTGGGTGAGCCAGCTGGAGCCTGTGAACTAGCTCTTTCTCATTCTCACAGATGAGGGAACTGAGGCTCGGTTGGGTACCTGCCTAGGACACACGGTGAATTTGTGGCAGGAATGGGACCAGAACCCAGTGTCCTGACTCCGACCATAGCTTGCCTCCCCTTGAAGCACACTGGGCACTGTGTGTAACACCCTTGCACCCTGTGGCCTGCTTTTAAATGAACACTGATGTGTGATTAGTACTCAGTCCACATACTTGCCAGAGTAATTGCTATCTTCCTTTTTCTTTGCCTCCTCCCAACTCCCCTGTTTTCTCTGAATGCCTTGAACCACTATGCAAATAAACTTGTTTTTCTCAATATTTGTGCAAGTCTAGAGACATGAAACTCAAAGATTGCCTCATCACAAGGCTGCCTTAGCAGAGATCTGTATCTTGTTTATTTATGGAGAGGACAGATACATTGGAAATCCTCAACATTGCTGCTCCGGAGTAGGTGGAGGGAGGAGGCTGCTACTTCTTAGCAGCTCATTGCCAACATCCAAGGTCCCAGGACATGCTCAGAGTAGACAGTGAAGTTCAGGTTTGTGGCAGTGCAGTGGGAGCCAGACTTAGAACAGGACAGAACTTTCACCTTCATTTGTCACCTGGTTGTCGGGCCACCCCAAGTGGTGGCCAGATTGCTTAAAAGAGGCTAAAACAGAAGGCACTTTGCAGGCCTGTAACAGGCGTTTTACAGCAAGATATGATCCTCCTCCCCACCACAACTTTTGGAGGGTCTTTATAGGCAAGGGAGCTTAACTTTCATGGGCAGGAAGCAAATTAAATTTATTCGGTGATTTGCCTCTCTGTAACCAAACACTGTGCCTTGGCAAGCTAAAGGAGAGCGTCCCTGGCCTTCACATTTCAGAACTGTGCCTCCACTCTTGCCTGGGTGCGAGGGACCCAAGTGTTCCCTGTGGTTGGACCAACTCAGCTCAGTTTCTTTCCTATCCTCTGCCATTCTGGATATTCCTTCTAGAGGGCTGAGTGGGCCTTGACCTCGGGACATGGGTTGGCCCTGAGCCCACCAGTTTTCTCAGTCCCAGGTCTTCCTGAAACAATTAAGGCAGTCCCAGTCTAATATTTTACAGGGATCCCAACTAGACTTGGCATCATGCCCAGAGAAGTAGCTCATCTGGTACACGGGAGGGAAAATGACTCACTTCACGCGCCTCCCATGTATCCAACTTAAGCCTCTGCTTGGCCAGTGCTGGCGAAGCACAGGAGACAGACGTCCCAGCGCACCATGCTGCGTGTCTTTAGTACAATGCAAGAACACTAAATGACAGAGGAAGACTGTGGGGATGAGGAGTACATGTCATATTGAAAAGCAAAGTATTCCTCGGTACACACCTCCATATGGGAGCAGCCCACACCACATATGGATGGAGGGATGTGCAGAGAACCCGCCCTGATCTGCCTGGGACCCAGCTGAGTGTTCCTGTCACACAGCTTTGCTCCCTCTGCCTCTGAGGTTACAGTTCCCGGGGTGCCAGGGAGAGGAGGGCTGTCTAAACTGGGGCCCCACTGTTTGAGGCAACTGCCTTTTCCATGTATCCCAGACTCCCAAGGCAGAACACGTCCCAGAAAGCCCTGAAGTTCTGTGACGACTGGCAGGCATCTGTGAGCTGTAGGCCCCCACAGCAAAGCTGCCACTCCAGGCGGCAATGGGAACGCCCCTTCCCAACTCTGAGTCTTGAACCTAATGGCCCAGGATGCTTCGGCTGGTTGTCATAAAATCGGAAGGAAGTGGGAAAGGTCCAATTTGAAAGCCTGAATATATTTTGCTGAAATTATGTGTATGTGTGTGCCTTCCAGAGAGTGTGCTCCCTGAGAGAGACTTGCGCAATTCATTCCAACATAAACAGGAACACGAGGTAACAGCTTCACTCAGTGGAAAACTAGCAGCATCCTTTTGCTTCCTGGGCATCCCCCGGGGTCCTCATCAGGCAGCCTCTCCAGCGTGGGAGGGGAGTGCCTGGTCAGCACCGCTATAACTCATCCATCATGGCCAGCAAATCGTCTCCCTTGCTGGCACTCCATCTTGGCTGGTCCGTGACCTCGAACTCCCCCATGATCCGAGCCAGCTCTTGGTTCCTTTGCTGGTCCTGTTAGAGAAATGAGAGATGTTGTTGATATTTGATTTTTTAAAAAAAATATCCTCACCTGAGGATATTATATTTTATTGATTTTTTTTTGAGAGAGCTCACAAGCGAGCTCCATGTGAGAGAGAAACATCGATTGGCCTCCTCCTGGGGATCACACCCACAACCTTTTGGTGTACGGGACGATATTCCACACAAGTCACCCGGTCAGGGCTGGTATTTGATTTCATCCCAGCAGTGTGATACATTTCAGTGCCTCACATGTTTGTCAGAATAGGCACTATATACATACTGATTAGAGAGGAGAAGGTAGGGCTTTTGAAGTTGAAAGTTATTACAAGATGAGCAGGGGAAAAAGATTGGACTGTGGAATCCCCTGCACACACCTGAGTAGCTTGTATGTTGACAACTTCGTGGGCTAACTCTTCTGGCCTGGTGAGCGCTGCTTGTCTGCATGGGATGGTAGAGAAACAGGTCAAAGGTGAGCGTTTTTTCCCTGCCAGGGTGGCAAATTGGCACTTGATAATACGGCAACTTATTTTTTTCTGCCTCATCTTCTGCCTTTTCCCTTCAGCTTGGGACTCCATATTCCCAACCAATGTCCCCCACACTCCAGAAAGTCACAGCCTTTTATGTCTCTGTGCCTTTGCATACAACTAAACACTGCCAAGAATGTTTTTCCCCTTCCCCTGCTTGGCACACTCCGAGACCCAGCTCAGATGCCAGATCTTTCAATCTGCCAGTGCAAGTCATCACCATGTCCTCCATTAGCATTTATGACACGGCATTTGTGTGCATGTTCATTGTCCTGCTAGGCGGGGAGCTCCTGAGAACAGGCCCTAGGTCATACGCTCCATCTTTGTGTCCCCAGCACTTACCGCAGAAGTGCACAAAAGAAGTTAGTCAACGGATCGGGAAATAGATGGCAATGCCCCACCCCCCAAATATTTGGTTGTGAGGAGGATCACATGAGATAATGAGTACAAAAGTGCTCTGTAAGCTGTAAAGCATGGTGCGGTATAAATCTCAGTGAATTACCGCTATTGGTTTCGGGAGAGGCTGTCTAATCTCAAAGAGTATCTTTGACTTCTCTCTGGTTTCTTAACAGACTTTTGTTAATTTGATTATCTTGACTTCTAACACTTTTTGTTCAGCTGCATTAAGTACAACATTAGAACTATTTTTTTTTTAATGAATCCAGAAAGTTCAGGCTATTTAATACTGGTGGATTCTTCTTTAACTAAGTTATTGAATTTGCTGGTATGCCATTTGTGATCTTTACATCTATATTTATAAGTGTCACCGGTTTATAATGGTCACTTTTTTGATTTAGCACACTTAGGATTTTTATACATGTTTTTAAAGAAACAGGTTTAAAACATACTCCTCCTCTTCATCGGTGGTAAAGAGATTCAGCCGGAATCCTGGCTCAGAGCCACTGGGTTTCTTAATCTCCATTCCTCCCATCAGCTTGGCCAAGAAATTCAGCTCTTCTTTAGCAAGAGGGTTTGGAGCAATGTTTTGCTGTGGAAAAAAAACTTCATGATTTTTAGCCACATGAAGGTGATCATATTTCCCGCTGAGACCCAGAGGCCCAGGGCGGTATTATAAAACAAGGCAAAATAATAACTGTTTAAATTACTTCTGGGAAGAACGAGGTCCAAATAAAGCATAGAAAACAGGCTTAACCAAAGCAGAAACAATTTGCGTCAGAAGCACAAGGACTCTAGCAAGGGAGCACACCAGAGATTTTCACACTTTCAAGATGAATGGAAAGCCCCAAGCGTCCCCACTGTCCTCAGACTACCTTCCTCCTTGAAGGAGAAGAACATTGTTTCCTCTTCCTTCAGCGGCTTCCCCCAAAGTGGAGGCTCGGGTCCAAGGGCAGTCATTCCATAGGAGCTACCACACTGCCCTCAGGTGGTGGCCATCGTGAACACACCCTGAATCTACTCCCTGCTCTCACTGTTTTGCCCACTTCAACCTTCTCCCCTTCAAACCGGCTCTCTCTCGCCCAGCTTCCCCTGCTCTACCTCTTCCATCAATCACTCTGCCGCCAGAGTTACCTAAAATGCATCCCACTTGTCCTTTGCTTGAAATAAACCCCTCTGCCTTCTGCTTCAAGGACAAAGTTCAAATTGTTTAAGCCCCTTCCTAATCAGGCCCCAGCGTCCCTGTACAGTGGAATCTCTGGCCACCTCCTCAATTAGGCCATGATCGAGTCATGTGGGAGAAACACTGCGGCCCTGCTTCCCCCAAACACCGTGCTGTCCTGCCTCTCTGTGCCTTTGCTCAAGCTGTCATTTCGGCCTACACGCCCATTTCTCCTTCTCGGCTGCATCTTATCCACTCCAGAACGCCACCTGAATGTCACCTCCTCTGAAAAGCCTTCCTGATCTCTCTCCCCTGTCCCCGCCCCACTGGACAGAACATGTGCTCTTCTGGCGCAGCACCTCATTCAGAATACCCAGCGAGCTCTGCTTCCACCGTGTTAAAGTTATTTGTCTCTATCACTGTCTTTCCCAGAGTCCTGTAAGTCCCTTCAGGATGAGACCACGCCCAAGTCAGTTTTGTGTCTCTGGGTACCCAGCCCATAGAAGCAGTTCAACAAATGTTTGCTGAATAACTGAATATTCCATGATTTGTCCTGGAGCTGCTGGTAGCTAGTTCAGTGAACACTGGCAAAGACGGAATCCAGAGAACTTAACACCCCATTTTGAACTTAGGTATGGAGTCAGCAACCAGGGACCTAATGGCACTGGTAGAATGCTAATTTCACATATCCTGGTGTGTGGTTCCCATTTAATTATGGTGATTGAGCCAAGCCTAAAATTACCTAATTAGTCAGATCACTGAAGGTCTTCATGGGAAACTACAATTAGAAACCTGTGTACTTTATAAGGCGAAATTGAGAAGATTGCAAACAACGAGGGAAATGTTGGCTGGCTTTGAAATCTAGCGTTCCCGCACTTGTCCTCATCCAGACTTTTGTATCTAGAAATAAGCTCCGGAGATACATAAGGAAGGCAGGAGCTCACCTGCGTCTGTGAAGCTAAGTTCTTCGATGCCCCAGATGTGTGGGTTTCCACAGGCCGGTTCACACTGTACCTGGTTGTCAACAGAAAACTGAAAACATTGTCTAGCCCTTTACACTGACTTCCTTCTAACCCCCAAATATAGGTCACAGCTTTTATTTGGAGAGCTTAAGAGCATCTAGAAAGGTGCTAGGAATACTGAATACAACTAAGTGCTTGTTGGCCGCTCAAATTTCCCTTCTTCCCATGGGGAAACACCTGGGAAGCTGTGTAGACGTGCCTTGCCTTTTTGAATCTCCACGGGCACTTAAAGTGATTTATCTTTTAAACCTGTTGAGTTGCTTACGCTGGGAAATCTTAGGTGCCTTTTGAAAATGGCAGGGTGCTGCATGCGTTGTACCTAAGGGAATATCACTCCATTTGTCAGCAGGATTCTCACAGCAGAAGTCAAGCTGGTTTGTGAAAATGCAGTGACCTCCCTCGGACTTGAATTCATTCAGGGAGGGAGGACTGGCTTACATGTTAGTTCCCAGTTTCAGCACGCGGTCGCCATACAATTCAAAAGAACCTTCCTTTGGTGCAGTGACGTAGTCTCCCCCGTGCTGGAATTCTACCCTCTTCACTTCTTCGCCTTTGTTGTTGAACATTCTACAACACAAAATATGACATGATGGAATGTTCTCCAAGCTCGGGTAGTCCTGTAGACATCTTTATTATTTATAGTATGGGACAAAAAGGAATTCATGTACTCTTTGAAGATAAAGATGTCAATTGTGGTAATAACAATGATACGATAGTATTTATTGAGTACATGTTATGTGCCAGGTGCTATGTAAGCACTTGAGAGCATTATTATTCATCCCCAGGTTTGGGAAGGCATATGATGAGCCCTTTTAATAGATGAGGAAATGAATCCTGGGGAATTGGGTGGTCTGCCGTGTCTACGAAACAGCAGAGCTGGGATTAGAGCCTGACGTTCTAACTGCTGAGCTTACTGAAGAAAGGAGGGGCCCACTGCACTGCATTCTGTGTGGTGGCCCACATATTGGTTTCCCAGAGCCTCAAACGCTGGTCTGACAATTATCATTGAGAACTCACCTGATGAGTCCGGGAACCTCAGTTCCCCAGGGAACAGGCCCAGACACTGGCAACACAAAGCGACCATTAGAATTCTGAACTTTGTCCTTTAGAAATATGGACACCTGAAAAAAAATATACTTATTGTGATTTTTCTTGGTATATCTTCATAGACATGAGCATTGCGAGGACGGAAAGTGTATAATGGGGTGGGAATGTTACCTAGTGAGTTTCTAACATTAAGAAAAACTCACCAGAGCTAACACCTGCAGAGTTTTAGTGTTTTTACAAATAGAATTTCTTTTGAGCCTTAGAGCAGATCTTCTAGGTGAGGTGTAGTACATGCGTTTTAAAGATGAGAAAGCTGAGGGTCACAGAGAAACGTGACTTGCCCGAAGACATCAATAAGAGACAGGGCTGGGGTTTGACACCAAGGCCGATTACAAATTTCACACCCACTCCTGGGTTCCCTGCTAACTGTCTGTGCAGTTGCGAGGCTTGAGCTATAAGAACCTCGTTATGTCCATTTGTACAGATGAGGAATGAGCAGCTCAGAGGTTAGGACACTCCCTCAAGGTCAGCCAGCTCATAAAGGGCAGAGCTGAGGATTCAAAGCGACCCTCGTGTTTCTGACTTTGAAGTGCAAACCCTTCGCCACGTGCTGGACTGGTGAGAAGGGGCGGGGGTGGGCGAACCCAGCTGGCAATTGTTTGAAGGTCTTCTATGGACTGGGAACACCATATAGGCTTGTTTCTATTCCTGGGTTTGTGCACTCTGTATTGAGGTCTTGGCCAGATTCAACTCCGTAATTGTTGTAGTGGTTAACTAGTTATGTTGGATCTTAGAGTCTTCAGCTGTCAAATGAGATTAACTTGAAAGTCTCTTTAAACTCTAATATTCTACAAGATTATATCTGTAATATCATCAAGGATATTGTGTGCCAGGCAGTGAAAATGCAAAGTGATAGGAATTTGCAAGCTGCCAGTTTAGCATCCTCATGGTGGGCTGTCCAGGGCACATCCCAGCGGGCCACTCCTCAGCCCTGGGCTTTTGGTAAGTCATACAACCTTTCTGCGCATCAGTTTTCTTCTTGGGAAACTGGGAATACTAACAGTACCTGTTCAATGTGTTGATGTGCCAACTAAATCAGATAATGAACAGAAAGCATTTATCACAGAGTCTGACACACAGTAAGTGTTCAATAAATTATAGCTAATTCTCTTCGTATTATAATCCAGTTGGACACAGGATATAGGCATAAGCTAGGAAAGAAATGACACTAGAAAGCTTTTAGGAGGCGACTCTCAGGAGTTCTGGAGGGCTGAAAGGGGTTGGAAATGGAGAAGGCTGTAAGTGGCTGGCTGCTCCGGATTCCAAGCGGAACTGGTCTTTGGGCGCCTCTGGCCAGGCCCAGAGAGCAGGTCCGGGCCCTGGCCACGTTAGAGCGCTTCAGGTGTTTCGTGATTTCGCCGTAAGTTTTGGACACCAGATGAGGGGTTTTGGTTAAACAAAAAGCAAGGCAATGTTAGAGCAGAGCTGTGTTTTCTTCATTTAGTTAGTTGGTTTTGCTAACAAATCTAAAAACTACCAAGCCTGTGTTGAAAATCGAGAAAATCTGTATAGGCAATCACAGATTGCAGCCAGGCAGAAATATCATTAAAGACCAGACTCAGAAATACCATTAAAGACCAGAAAACCAGCCAAATGTTACAAATCAGCAGCTGAGCACTGCCAGCATGTGGAAATCCTTTTTCCCTCGATGAACATTCTGATGTTTCACTGCTTGCCCACTTAGCAATTAAAGCTTAATATATTTTGTAGTTGAATATATTTTAATGATTTTGTTATAGACATTATTAGGAGTATTTTTTCATTATAATCAATTTTATCTTGTCAGACTTGAGAAATCAATATGGCTGCTTACATTACTACAACTCATAAAATAATGTTCAAATGTGCACAATCTTGATAATGTGATGTCGACTTTTCCATATTTTAAAGCAATGAAAAACTTAATCTTGTTTGTAACTTTCATATTTTTAATTTTAATCAATACTATTAGAGATCTTAATATATATTGATGTTATTATTGCTCCATCCATAGCAAATAAAATTATTCATGAGGAGTAAAAATAAAATTGGCCTCAGAGTTGAAATCTATTTATCTTCCCCAGTCCATGGAAAGGAAATAATAACCAGGGGCTAGATGTAGTCTACTTCTTTTTTTTTTGAATTTTATTTTGTGAATGTTACACATACATATGTACAACATTCAAAAGGTTCGGGGGGTATGCCATGGAACCTAAGTCTCTCTTGTAACCCTGTCGTCCATGTATTTTCTTACTTCTAGGGGTGAGCACTGCGACCTGTTTCTTGTCTATGCTCCCAGAATCTCTCTTCTATACATATATTGGCATATATATATATATATTACATATGCTGCATCAATGAATCCTCCCAACAAACTCTAAATGCTTATTATCTTCAGTTCGAAGACACTGAAGCTCAAGAGACATAATTTGCTCAAGGTCATGGAGCTGTGCTGACGCAAACACAAGAGTGTCTGACTCCAGAGCCTGGGCTCATTTTGCCATATCATCCATCTTTCCCATAACAGTGTGTTAAATTATGGGAAGGAACAAAGTTCTGTCTGAGAGAGATAGGCCCCAAAGTCAGAAGCTGAGAAATATGTTTTTTAAAAGTTAGGGTGTAGAATTGTTTGGAGCAGGCATGACCGGAGGAGGCAAGGTCAGTTGGGAGGCAACAGCCAACAAGAGGAACAAAGACCTGAGCTAGGCTGGTGGCGAGCTAGGCTGGTGGCGGGAGGAATGGGAAGAGGGCGTGGACACCGAAAGGCAGACTCTTGGGGCCTTAGAAGCAATTAGGTGAAGATCAGAGAAGGGGAATCACAGGCGACGCTCTGGGTCTGCGCCATGTGAGTGAAGGAGTGACGGTGCCCCCCAAAGAAACCAGGAAGTTGAGGCAGAGCTTGAATTCTGGAGATTAGCTTAGGCACAGATGTTAAATTGCCGGCACTGAGTTTCAGGTGGAGATGTTGGCCTGGATGGCAGGGCTGAGGCTGGGGAAGGGCAGAGGTTAGACTCCGGAGCACCGGGTGGAAGAGCTGGAAAGTGGGGAGGGAAGCGATTCCCTCAGGGAGGTGGGCAGGTGGAGGCGCACGGGGGTTTGGGGGCAGGCAGGGGGCGAGGAAGGAGAGAGGCATGGAGACGGACGGACGGGGGGAGGGCAGGCCAGGACACACAGTGTCGCGGAAGTCCAGGAAAGGTGAGCGCTCCGTGGGGAAGGAGGGCAGCCTCCTAACCGTGTCAGAGGCTGGAGGGGTCAACAAAACTAAGGGTCTGGGAAGAGGCTTTGCAACTGACATCAGGCTGGTGGCCACGAAACACATCTCCTCTGGAGAAGGGAAGAAACTGCATTTTAAAGAAACACGTAAGGTAACTGAGAAGGAGTGACAGTGTCATTGTCTACCTTGGTCCATTTAAAAACTGCTGAGATTTGTTATCAGAAAGTTTATCATCGTGGAGCCAAACACTGAGGACATCGGTAAATGGGCAATCGCAGCCCTGTCTCCCTGACGGCTTGGCACCCGGTGATTCCCTGGGGCAGCTGCGGCAGCGCTCCCGGGGCTGCCCAGTCACTCACCCGGATATGCAGGTCCTGGAAGAAGGTGAGGAGCGTCTGCCGGATCAGCTGGAACTCCCCCGCAGAGAGACCCCCATATACCTGCCAGAGGCAAAGCAGCAAGAAGCATTTCATTTTCAGATGTGAGGCGAGAAGTGCGGACAGGAAGGGGCAGGTGTGTGTTCAGGGATGGGAGGCACAGGAAGGCGGAGACTCTGCTGCTGGGGCAAGAGGGGCCGCAGCAGCGCCAGCGCCGCTCTCTCACAAAACCCACTATGCCACACTGAGCGGGGTACACTACCCCTCCTGTCCCCCACAGGCCCACAGAGGCTCTTCCCCAAGATTCAGCAGAACATCACATCCACAGCAACCCCCTTTCTAAAAAGTTAGGAGAAAATCGCTAGGCTCTGTATCATCGCTTTCCCAGTTTTGAAGGCGACAGTAAGAGGTCATAAGATGATAATGCCTCTTGTAATATCAACTTGGATACTTGGAGATTTTTAGGATTCTCTGGGAGAATGGCAGGCTTTGCAATTCCTCATCCTGTTCCCTCTGTCACAGAATCTTCCTGTTCTTAACAGAGGAATGAGAACAAGTATTAGGGCTAAGAGGTGATAAACTGATGGTATCTTACTTCAAACAGCTGCCGGAAAGTCTCATCCACTAGATGCACGAGGGCTGGGTTGTCTTGGATGAATCCCTTGATGGCATCTAAATGATTGAAAGTGACCAGCAACACATCCTTGGGACGGGGACACAGCAATACTTGATATTTCAAAGCCATAGTCATCAGGTCATAGAGCTGCCAGCCAGACATGAACAAAATAAATGGGATCATAGAAGCAGATGTCAGGACCTCCAGACAATGAAGCAGTCAAGGATTTACTGAAGACCAGTACTGCGTATATCATACACCTTGGGTGACCACATCAGTTATCCCTCAAACCAAGACACCTTTGAGAGTAAAAGGGGAGCAGTGATATTAATAATTAAGCCAGGACAACATAGTTAGACTAGGACATTCCTGGGCAAACTAGGATTTCTGGTCAGCTGATTGCTCATGGAACATGTTTGAAACAACATTGGTAGCTGTGGGGCCCTGGGTCGGGTGCTGGCATAGGGAGGGAAAACGCAAAATCAGGCCCTCCGTTGCTACCGACTAGCTGAATGGCCCAGCTGAGTCTTCTCTCGCCCCTCTGGGCCTGAGTTTTCTCATCTGTAAAAAATAGTCTCCGATGCAGCTAAAGAAGTGCCCAGAGGGAACTTTACAGTAGTAGATGCCTACATTTCCCTAATCAATAACCTAACCTTTCCCCTTAAGAGACTAGGAAAAGAAGGTCAAACTAAAGTCAAACCAAGGAGAAGAAAGAAAGTAAAGTTTGGAGCAGAAATCAATGAACTAGAGAGTTGAAAAACAAGATAAAAATCAATGCAACCAAAAGTCGGTTCTTTGAAAAGATCAACAAAACTTTAGCTAGGTAACTAACAATTATTTACGTAGACTGACCAAGTAAATGAGAAAAATAAAATTACTAAGATCAGAAATAAAACAGAGGACATTACTCTTGCCTGATGGAGGTGTTCTGAGTGTACTAAAAGCCACTAAATTGTACGCTATAAAACAGTGAAATTTATGTTATGTGAATTGTATATTAATTTAAAAATTGCAAAAAGATATTATAAAACTGGCTGTGGAAAAGACATTAAAGAATAAAAGGTTTTTTTGGGTTGTTTTTTTTTTTAAAGGACAAAAACAAAAAATTAGTTCTGAATTTCCTCTCATTGCAGAGCTGCTGAGAGAGGGGTAAATGAGATAGGTGTGAAAGTGGCAAGTAGAAAGTTCTACAAACTGTAGAGGAACAATTTTAAATAATAAAAATACCTCCTGACTGGTGTGGCTCAGTGGGTTGGGCGTCGTCCTACAAACTGAAAGTTGGCCTGGTTCGATTCCCAGTCAGGGCACATGCCTGGGATGTGGACCAGGTCCCCAGCCGGGGGCATGTGAGAGTCAATCAATCAATGTTTCTCTCGCTCTCTTTCTCCCTCCTCTTACCCTCTCTCTAAAAATAAATAAATAAAATCTTTTAAAAATGATAAAAATACGTAGTAAGATATCAACAAGCCCCATGTATGGTATGACCATCCAAGAATGACCAGGAACTGGAAATTGGTGAGGTCCGAAGCAGTCAAGATAGGCTTTATGAAAGAAGGCGGCAGTCATAGGCTTCACACTGGCTGAGGGAGAGGAAAGGCATGCTCGCCGAGGGGAGCGGCATGCGTGAGGGCCTGCAGGCAGCCACAGATGTGCTCTTCTCCTGGGAGAATGAGGAGAACAACCTGGCTGGAGAGGACTGTTCTCCTCATTGGGGATGGCGGGAAACAAAGTTGAAGAAGTATGGCAAGTTCAGAATAGTAAAGGTAGGGACAGGCAAAATAATTTAGACTAGCAGTGGTAGGGGTGGGAGGCTCCTGAAGTTTTCTCAGCTGACATGGTAAAGTGGTGATTAAGCCAGATTACTATGGCAACGATGAGCTGTGAGAGAAGGGGGACAGCGGAGGTAGGGAGATGAGCTAGGACCTGGCTCCTAATAGGTTTCCAGTAATACCTACTGACTGTACGGAAGACATTGTGTTGGCGTGGTCCAGTCCGAAGGCCTGGAATGAAGATGGCGGGAATGGAGAGGCAGAGAAAAGGGGAGCATGTGATGCCTAGAAGGAAAAGCTGTCCGCGTATGGCGAGTACCTGACTGCATTTGGGGGATGGAGATGAGGGAAATGACTCCAGCGCTTTTGACTTAGTGCCTGGAAGAAGGATGATGCTACTGAGGGAGGCAGGGGGGATGGGGGACAGAAGGCCAGACTGGGAGAGAAGTTATGGACTCACCGGCGGCAGCACAGGAGCTATAAACTCCCCCCACCTGAGTGTTGTGCCGAGCACATTTAAACCTCATTGCTCCCATTTAATCTTCACAAGAACCCTACAAGGTAGTTATTATCCCAAGTTTAAAAACAAAATGCCTAATTTCATATGGCTGGTAGTAAGTGGCAGGTTGAGATTTGAACTCAGGATGGTCAGATCCTAAGGCATTTGCTAGACCTTTCTGTAGAATCCCACTTTCCCAACACGCAGCTGACCATTTCACTTAGTAAGTGGCAGACAACAGGAGCCGGGTGGGTGGGTGGGCGCGCGCGTGCGTGTGACACTAGAGGTATTAGTTTGAGACTCTTCGCCATCATTATCATACATGAAGTTGCTGTTGTATATAGGACACCATGCTAGGAATAAAGGATAAAAACAGGTATAAGATGAAGGAAAAAAAGTTCAGAATTGTTCAGTAAATGGAGTCTCACAGCTAGCTAAGACTTGAGTCCACGTTCTTTAAAATTCTAAATTCTATGTCCCTTCTCGATGGAAACCTAAACCTTTTTAAAGGCAGAGGGAGCAGAGCAAAAAAGGTAATTACTGCACTTTGCCGTGTAAAATGCACATATACCATGGACGTAATAATGGGCATAATGATCCCATGTCTAATGTGTGCCGCAACCTGGGTGCGCATTATACACAGCGAAATATGTTCGCATTTTATTGACTATTTACTATATGTCAGGCCTAGGTTTGTCTATATATATATATGTTTCTCACTTAATCCTCCCAGCACCGATGAATTAGCTCATGTTATCTCCACTTTATAGATGAGAAAATGGAGGCTCAGGGAGATAAAATAACTTTCCAAAGGTAAGTGGCAGGGGTAAGAGGGCATAGGTAAAGGCAGTCTGTCTCTGTGAGGTTTCCAGGTACCAGTAATACGTGAACATTGATTCTGCATGCCTAGCACCTACTGTCGGTCCTTATTTTGCCCGAGGACATTTTCTTCATTGCTTTTAGAGAAAGGGGGAGGGGATGGGGCGGGGAGAGAGAGAGAGAGAGAGAGACATTGATGTGAGAGAGAAACATTGATCTGCCTCCCGTAGGTTCCCCGGCTGGGGAATCGAACCCCGCAATCTCCTGGTGTACAAGATGACAACCCAACCAACTGGGACACACTGGCCTGGTCAGGGCATGCTCTTCTTTCTTGAGAGCACAGTATGTATATAAATTGTTTGGAATTTTTCTGAATGTAAGAGATCTGTTATTCTTTGCAATTTATTTATTTGGAATTATTATTTAAAAAATCACAGTACCCTAGTCATTTGTTTCCCAAAGAGATAGATATGTTCATGTTATAAGTAAAGACTGAGAAGTTTTGAATTTGTTTTAAAAAATGCCTAGGTGTCAGATCTGAGATTTGCCAAGAATGAAGCAGAATTAACGTTTTTAGGGTTGGGATAAGGCGTTCACAAATATGGGCCTGAAGACCAGCACTGTCTTTGGACAGGGGGAATGACATAAACAATAGAGGGACGGGTGCAGGTGACTACTCGGGTCCTTTCCAACTCTGAAACGTGACAACTAATATTTACAAGGCCATTTTCTTTGCAAGGCAGCTTTGCATATGTTATCTCCTTTGATTCCAGTCTACCATCATCCACAAAAGATACAAGAAATACAATCAGGGGGGTGGGGCAACTGTCTGCTTACCTTATCCATGCTGGCCTGGTTCAGTCTCATAATGGAGGCATGGGCCAGGCGGTCATAGATAGTCCTCAGGGCCTTCTTGGAGTAGAGCTCTTGCGGTTTGAACAATTCCTCTATAAAGTTTTTATTGAACATGGTTAAGATGATGTCATGAAGAACTGTAGAGATAAGAGAGAATACAGCTAAGCAAGGTACTTGGCGGGGGTGGGGGCTTTACTCAGGACACACGCTCTGTGTACAAATGGGATGGAGGAGCTAGGCCTATGCGGGAGGGAGATGCTGATGTGCTTGGTGAGACCTGCTCCCCGGGGAGAAACCACACGATGTTCCAATGGGAGGCGGGGTCCGCAGTGTTTTATGAGACCGTTTCAGAGCAAGCATCAATGTGACAACGTACAAATGTGTTGTGCTTCAGAGGTTACAAACCACTTTCACATATATTATCTCACTTGATGATAGGGCAGATGTTTCTTCTTCCTTTAAAAAAATATTCCTAGAAACATTTTAGATTAGATCTCCTCTTTAATACGAGAAACAGCATCACTCTTGTTTGTTTAGCAAATGTATAACATTTTTACTTAAAATTAAATTTTATAAAAATGGGACCAGTAATGGTAATTGACTTTTTTTGGCAAAACATTTTATAAAAATAGACAAGTCTACCCAATGGTTAGAGATTAAAACATTTCTAATGTTTCTACAAGGTGTGTACTTCACATTAGTAGCATTTTAGAATGACTCAATTTTTATATTTGATTTATAATACTGATATTTCACTGTCATGCTATGTCTTATATTGTTGTTCAAATGGAAAACTTTCATGTAGTGAGAATAAAAGGTCCTAAGGTGTGTGCAAACAGACGTGTCTATAATTCTAGTTCTTCATTCACTCATTCATGTAGATATTTTTTGCTATTCAAATATCATTAGTTGAGGGCTAGATAAACCCTCTGGTATGAGAAATAGAAACAAGTGTGGTTGAATACAGATTGTTCTTAATTAAACCATATCTATTCTTGCCTAAAGGTGAGAGTGTATGGATACTGAAAATATACATTCATAGTAATTAAAATTTGAAAGGAAGCTGGTTACTTAAGTTACACACAATCAATTATTAAACAACAGTGATTACTACTGAAAAATACAAATGCCTCTTTCTTTTGCCACATAAAGGTATGGCTGTGGCCCTGTGTCTTCGAGAGGGGAGGCAAGGTGCGACGCTGATGTCACGGCTTCAGGCACTGTCTCCGCCTTTAAGCAATTGATAGCAGTGCCCTGAAGGCCCAGGCCAGCATTTTAAAGCAGCTCAAAGGGCATTTTAGGGGGGAGGTGGCAGGGGGAGCTCAGGGCTGGTTAAATTTCAATCTTTATTTTTTATTTTTGAATTTGTTGGGGTGGTATTGGTTAACATAATTTTATAGGTTTCACGTGTACAATTCTATATATATTTAAATTTTAGATGGAAGGCCTACAGAGAGAGGGGAGAGGGGGAAGAAAACCCTCCCCCGACACCTGACACAAAAGAACTAACGGACGCTTCTTACAGGAAGTGTAGAACTCACACTTGACATTCGGATTTCATTCTAGACGCCTTCCTATTAGTGAGGAAGAACCAACTCCATTACCAGCGCAGGACATCCCTCACATCTGACCATTTCAACCCATCGCACCTTGCCCTTAGTGCACGCTCACATGTTCCCAGTGTGGACAGCTTGGAGACCTAACTCGGGCTCACTTCACGCATGGCCTTTTGCCTTTAATCTAAAGTCAATCAAGGACCTGCAGTAAACAGGGTTCTTTCAGGTTTTTCTTACTGCAGTCAATATGAAATGCAGAGGTTGCAAGGAAATAGGTACAACTGAAAAGCCACATGTAAGGCTTCAAAAGAGAGAATTTGAATTTTTCACAGGTTTATGTAGGCCAGGGGGGAGTGCCAGGGAGGAGGAGTCCAGGTGAAAGAATCACATCAGCTCTGCTTACTTGAATGCTTACAAATAGCTGCCATTCACCTAGGTGCTGAGGCTTTTCTCTCGGGTCTTTCAGCCTTTAGCAGAATGAAGGAAAGTAGCTTAGACCCCAATACAACAGTTCTAAAAGAAAGTCACAAGGAGACTGTTAGCCACTTTGGCAAAGTAAAAAGCAAAATGAAGCCTTTCCCTCCGGGGAGTGAACAAGCTGTGTATCACTGTGGCTCCTTGCACAAAAGCGCCCAGAAAGTTCACTGGCTGGACAGAGAGCAGGGCAGGACTTCTCCCTGTGGGCTGAGCAGTGCCCACAGATGTCCCCAAGGAGAAAGTGGTAGTTCTATGGTTGGACCCCAGTACCCAGGTTCCCACCTCTCATATAATTCTTTAGAAGGAATATGGGGCACAAATTAACCGCTGATACCTCATAACATGGTTCACCTGGCACTCGGATGAGGTGGGCTTACAATGTACCAGACGCTGACATAAACCCCAGGGCACAAAGAGGAAGGAAATGCCCTTACTAATAAGGAGGTCATATTTAAGTTAAACCTGAGAAATAGGTTTAACTACACCTGTCAGTCTATCTCAGTTGTTAGCACTCACATGCGCTTTGTATAACTGCAAGAGGCGGGAACGTACTGGGATCCAGGTTTCACTAGGAAGGCCAGGGAGTGATTTTTCACAGGTGCATCCTGAGTTCAGATTATGAAGTTAGTTTCTGGTCATTATTTTTGAATACTTAAGTTAAAATAAACTCAAATGATTCGATTATGTATACAAAAAGCTTTCAAAATCCACACTTCTCACCTGAAATACTGCCACACATCAAGAGGGGGGCCAAAAATTGCTCAAGAGAATTGGCCAAAGGTGGTTGTGATATATAATAAAAGTGTACCAGGCTCTTCAATTGGGGTTTTCTTTGAGCCTGGCCTGATGAAATAGGGCTCTTGATGAAAGCAATGGCGTGTTTACTAAACCACTGTTGAAAATTTGGTTATGGGAACATGCAATTTGGAAGGAAGGGTAAAAGAGAGAAGCTACTACTTCTGGATGGTTTCCATGTTTCAAATCCTTACTCTGTTGCAGGCACCCAGCGTAGAGCCCTCCATGCATTATCTCATTTAGCCCTTCCCCAAGACAATTCTGAATTATTATCCTTAGTCTATCAAGGAGGAAAACTGAGTCTTCGAGAGGTGCAAGTTGCAGGTCACACGGCTAGGGGTAGAGCTGAAATTAGAATGGTGCTGTTGATTCTACTGCCTTTGCTCTTCAATATCATGTATGTTACCCCCTGAGCATGCTGGGTGCGCTAAGACCATTTCAAATGCTGAGGACGATGGTTGATGACATGCACAAACTGCACGCAGATGTCAGATGATGAAAGGTACTCGTGACACTTAAAGATAAGAAAGGCTGAGGTTTTACTCTGAGGGACTGGCAACTTTTCCAGGTTTGCTGCTCGTTGTAGGTGAAGGGGAAGCTGAAGGTCGGGCGTGACAGGGCCATACTATATACATGCGAGACATCATGCCTTCTGCCCTCAGTCCTGGCAGCCATGCAGCCCCATGCTTCCACTATTCTCAGTGGCTCAACAGATACCGGTGTGTGCTACGGAAAATGGTTCAAGGAAGGTCACTCACATTGAACCACAATTCTTTGGGTACATGGTACTATCACAGAACTGCCTTAGGGACTACCAAATAGCACAACCTACCCAGAAGTGTAGCTTCTGCCCCAGTTGTCCCCACAAAGCTTAGAACTGATGAGGAGAGGAAAAAAAGTACCTCAGGTGAAATATGGTCCTTGTGCCTAAGTTTGCTTGGTTTTGACTTTACATGCTGTATTTACATAAAAGATTCAAATATACAACCAATGTCTTGGCTAGAGAGAAACTCATGCCTACTTTTTGTTTTTTAACTTTAAAATATTTAGAGTGGTCCCACTTTAAGCCCCCTTGATAAAGGACTAAGTGAACCTGTGGATGCAGACTGAATACATGCAGCCCAGAGATAGCATACCTCGTTTTCTGTCCACCTCTGTCCATTCATCTACATGAAGCATATAAAAAGAAAACACCAGTTCATGAAGCAAAAACAGCATTTTGAAGGAGGCTTTAAAAACACCAATTCCAATCATTTGGTCTATGAAACTTTATTTTTCAGGTTTGCATTAATGTCTAATGTGAATACTCTGCTTTCCGTGTGAAATTTTTAAAAGGATGATGGATAAACAAGTTCCAAAAAAAGCCCTACAGAGGCCCTATCTTATAGAACGAGTGGCCTAGAAGGAGAGGAAACTCAGACCTACTAGCTCCCCTGGGGTTCGTCTTGAAAGGCTCAAAAAGTCATCCCCTCCAATGCTGTGAGAATAAATATATTCAAAATAGGCTTTTAAAAAAACACTAACTTCCATGAGGAACAACAGTTCCAAGAACAGGTAGACAAGGGAGCTTCTTTTTGTATAACCTGATTTTTAAAAAAAAATTATTAATGTAAGATTTCCCTTTCTAGAGTACAGATTAGAAAACTTGAAATGTAAATTAAAAAGAAAAAAATGCTTATTCATTTCAGATTTACTTTTTATACACAGATGTGTGACTTCCAGGTAAAAAGAGGGGAGTCAGGACGGGGCCGCTGTCAAGAACACTCGCGAGACAAAGGCGGTCGGGGGGATGTCAGCAGGAAACCAAATAAGGAGCAATGTACTTGGCTTGCGAAATCTGTAGGAATTAAGATCCTCACTGCGTTGAGGCCTGGCTCTACCATTTACTGGCTATAGAACTTCAAGCAACTTGTTTAACCTCAATCTCTTAGCCTGTGAAATGGGGTTCGTAACTGAACCTAACTCACAGGGTTGCTGTGGGGATGGAATGTGAAACATCAAGCACTTAGCTGGCTTCTCTTCTAGTTCTGCTTTCTCTACCGAAGGACATAGGACACCACCCATAAAGGATGAAAGGTGACTTTTTTTTCCTTTCCTTATTTTTTGGGGAGACTTCAATCTACAGAAACTATTCCCAGATAAACAGGGTTCTACACACATCCAAATTTAAAAAACATTTTGTCATTAATGGTCTCCCTTGGAAAATTTGCCACGAGATTGCTTTAAAGGTGATTTCTGCAGTTATAATCAAACATATACATGTCTTCAATGCACAACACCAACAGCTCCTAAAAGACAAGCCTGGGAGCACAGCCAGTGCTGAGCCCTAACTGGCTGCAAAAGGTTCCCATGGCCAGGTCAGACTCCTCTGGGAAAATTCACTGTCTTTCTCCCATAAGAGCCACAGGCATTTGGAGAGAAAACAGTGAGGAAGCAGCAGCAAGAGTCAGTCCACCTTTAAGCAGATACCGGTTTCTGTAACATAATGTCCACATCTTCTATCTTGTTGTGGCATTTATTTACAGGCGGTCTTGCCTCACAGGCTTGTGGGAATTCAGAAAGGTGTAGTTGCCACCCTCTTGAAGGCATGCTTGGGAACAGGGGTGCTGCCAGTGTCCAACCTTCTCTAAGGGGCAGTGACTACCGGCTGCGGAAACAACAGAACTGGCAAATGCATGCCCAGGGGCAGGTGAATGATGTGCCGTTTTTCTATTATTTCTCCAGGTGACTTGTTTGTGACAATTCCACTTTAGTTTTAACAATGGGGATATTTAGTTGTAAAACGGGGATATTTTGCCTGAGAGGCATGCCCAAGGCTACCCAGGCTGCCTGTTCTATTGAAATTAGAAAAATAAAAACAGAACCTCACCACCATTTGGTTGCTCAGAACTACATTGTGATCTTCACATATTGGGAAAATCACTGAATGGCTCTATGCCTCATTTTCCCCTCCTGTAAAATGAGGTGTGCAAACAAAATGTAATAGAGTCCTATTTATGGTATTTTTAAGAGGACAGGAGTGAGGTAAAGGCAGGTTTTATTATTCTCACTATTGCTTAAAATGCGGGACAACATTTAATATGCAACACTCAAAAGTTGCCCCATGGAGAGAGCACTTCCTTTCTGTTGAACGCTAGACCAGAGGCTGCGTTGTGGGGGAAAACCGCACTGTCTGTACTGGCCTTGTGGGGGCAGGATGGCTTCCTGGAGAGCAATTAGTCGCGTAAGATAATGAAAACATCTGGAAGAATTATGGTTTTCATTCAAAGCTTCAACGAAGGCTAGTATACTCTGTCTGGTGTCTTATAGGTGTCTGTGCATGGGCATTTGTCACTGTGGCTCCTGCTTCCTGCGTCTATACTAACTCCAAATGCTGGCACAGTGTTTCTCAACTTTGAACTCCACACTCTCAACTCTGCTTTTACACTCTATCTTCTGTAAGTCCCCATCAGCCAACTATGGTCCTTTCTGTCATTTCTTGAAAAGAGAAATCATTGAGTATATTGGATATTTTTTTTCAGATCTCTCCTTCTCTTCCCAACCTTCCAACCCCCACAGAGATTCTGGTGCAGTAACCCCCAGGTATGATAGTACAGCGGTTAAGGACATACTGCTGAAGAACAGAAGCTCTAGAGCCCAATGACCTCGGTTCAAATATGTAACCCTGGGAAGATTAGCCTTAGTTTCCCCATCTGTAAAACAGGGATAGTAGTATTTCCTACATGATAGGATAGTTGTGGGGATTAAGGTATTCAGGGAAGTCCTTGAGTCATGGTAAGCGCTTAATAGATGTTTGCTGTTGTTGTCATTAAGAAGACATGTCCTCCAGTTTTAGAATCAGTTACTGGACCAGACTGATCGAACGCCCTACCTCCAGTGAAATGCAGAAGGGCTGAATGATGTTACATCCAGCGTCTCATATTTCGTCTCACACTCACCTCAACTGTGGAAGGAATGAGTGTGAATGTGAATTACCAAAGGCGGCTGTACCCAGCAAACCCTGAAGGACTGCAGCTCCTAAAGACAAAGGAAGCCAGCCCCTTAGTATTTATAGGGTCTTGCACAGATCTCTTCTTGACAGACACCTGCTACTTACTGTGCTAAATATGTTAAATACACACATTATCTCATTCAATCCTTACAACTTTGCTATAGGGTATGTAAGGCTTATAGAGCTTATACTCCATTAAATGGCAAAGCTGAAATTGGGACCCACATTTGTATGACTCCACAGAGCATGCTCTTAATTGCTAACTTACACTGCCTGCCAAGATCCAGGCTACCCATCCAAGAACTACCTGTCAGTCATTAGCCCAAATGAAATCACACAACACAGGCACCAAGAAAACAGAACCCTCTAGAGGAAGAAATGGCAACGCCATATAAAACAGCGAATTTAGATCTTCAGTTCAACATTTCCTGAGCCCCAGTTTGTTCTGGTGTAGGTATTACGCTAGATGCTGGACTACAACGATGAATAAGACCATCATGTGGAAGAGACAAACACAGACAATTACAGGATAATGTGGTTAGTGATAAGGTAGAGAGGCATGTATGGGTGCTATGGGAGTATGTGCAGGCCCTTTCCCTTCGTGGGGAGACTTCCTGAAGGAAAGGAATCATAAGCTGAATTATGCAGGATAAAAAGGGAGTTACTAGCATGGAAACGGGAGGTTTGAGGTAGAATGGGCATGGAAACAGGAATGAACATGCTTTAAATGGAGACCTACAAACAGCTTGGTATTAGGATACAGAGTAGGAGACAGGCAGCGGTGGAAGGCGGGTCTGCAGAGGTGTACACAAATCAGATCAGGAAGGGCCCTGAAATGTCCTGCCGAGGACCTGGCCTCCATCCAGACAGTAGTGGAAAGTTCACAAAGGGTTTTAAGTAGCAGGGGGTATGGGCAGATTTGCATTTTAGAAAGCTCACTGGCAGCGGTGTACAGAATGAATGGAGGGTGTATGCTATAGGGAGTTTTAAAAATCTTTTCATGAATGGACTTGGACTCAGTTACACAGACACAAAAGTGAATATCTGAATATAGATGCTTAACATCAATTGAGCATACAAAGACTGTTGGAAAGAATAAATGTAATCCGTGGCTACATCAGTTACCTTTATATCATTTTTCTTCCTCTACCTTGAAATATAATATTTAATGCCAGGAAGGTTGGAGAAAGCAGTTGTTGATTGAGGAGGAAATAAAAGAGGGAGAAAAAAAGGGTGACAGAGAGTTCTGGGTGGTCATTTCTCTGGGGATTAGATGGGGTATATAGGAGGACAGATTTTACATTTTAGAAACTCTCATATAATTACTTCCACAATTGTATTCTCTTCCAACAATTGTGAAGGGGAAGAATTATAATTTTCTTATCTTTTCTTATTTGTCTGTTATCTCAGGACCTCACCTTTCTAGAAATAGCTTCTGAAATTAGTAAGACTGGCTTCCAGTTTATGAAGGAGGATACTGCACAGAGGGCTGGAGAATCAGAACCTGGCCCATGGTGGGGTGGGGAGAGGAAGAGGATGCTTGGACTAGCAAAGAGTAGGTGGCCAGGTGACGGGCAGCTGAGCTCTCTACATTTGGGAGGAACCAGTTGTTCAAAGAGATTGGGAAATCACCTTGCCAATTTGAGGGGGATGAGGAAATTGGAGGAGGGGACATGAGGTACTGTAATAATATTCAATGAGGGCATTGAATCCCTCTGTTGTGAAAAGATCTTTTGGGAAATCTGACTCCTGAGGGGCTCTGCCTGGATGGGGCTGTGGACATTGTGAAAAAGATCTCTGGCTATAAGAGCGCAGTGCGCAGGGGTGCTGTAAGGTCAGTCTGTAAATGGGCTGGCTGTGCAGGCCGGGCATCTCTCACCTCTGCGGGCCTTGTCTCCCGGGATGTTCTGGGCCCGCAGCCGCTGGTCCAGGATGTAAAGCATCTCCCCACCCAAGTTCAAGAAGAGCAGCGGTAGCGTCCGCATAGACATGATGCCAAAAGAGAGCAGAGCTGGTGAAGTGACCGAAGGCTGGGGAGCCAGAGAACTGGAGGCCCAACCACCGCGTCCCCGTAGCCTGGTTGCTAGGGCAACGCGGCGGACAGCAAAAGGAGCCAATCAGCATGCCCTTTGTTGGGAGGCGCCTGAGGGAGGACGCTTATTGGGTGGGTGCCAGAGACCTACGAAGTGGACGGGTCCCAGGCGGAAGCAGGGTTGCCGTGGGGACTAGAGCGGAAGCGCAGGTTTTGACTTTCTGAGGCTGTGTGGAAGGGCGAAGGTCGGGCAAGGGCGGTGGGCATCCGTGGCCGGCGCCGACGGAGCGGTGGGCACCGCGCAGTCCAGCTCCGTTCACGGGACCACCCCTCACCCAGCCCTTCCGAGTACGCAGGTGCCCGAAAAGAGAAGCACCGAGGCGAAACTTGAGAGCAGTCTCTGAGCGGGTGGACCTGGGTTTGGCTCAGCTGTATTTCCGAGCAGTGACTTTACGCAGCTGTTTGGAGTCTGAACTTCCTCATCCGTAAATTGGAGGGCACACCCATCTCACAGGGTTGCTGAGGAATCAGTGAGATGATGCAAAGTGCCATGAAATCACTAATAAAATGGTAACTGACTTTCCTTTTAGATAGCGGAGGGACCAGAAGTCCTTGAATTATTTGCATTCCCTTTCTAAAAGTCACTTGGCGTGAAGCCCCACCAGATTTCCTATTCCCTGAAGCACACCAGGCCCATTCTTGTCTGTCCCGCTCCTGGAGAACCTGTGAGGGAGCCTCGGGAAGCTCCCTCCTTCTGGCTATTAAGCAGGCCTCCCATCCGTTTCTCTGTTCTGAGGGCAGGGAACCCGTCCTTCACCGCCACCTTGAGTCCCAGGATCACCTTCCCACAACCTGCTGTACATTTTTACATCGATGAGCAACCATTTCTGTAAATTTCAAATTGTAAAACCTAGGAATCATCTTTCTTTCCAGCCACTGAGCCTTGATTTCCAGCTCTATTGCCCCACGTCCTATTATCAGTCACCAAACTCTGCTTTTTCTGTCATGATCTCTCTCGTATTTTTCTCTTCATCTTTGTCTGCATCACTATGTTCCTCCATATTACTGGCTCTTTTCTCTCCTCCACCCGCATGGGCTGCAAGGCTCAGTATCAAAAGACACCACTTTCAACATGACATAGTCCTTCAGTGGCTTCCTGTTCATTGGCAGATGGCCCTGGCATGGCACTCGGGGCACTCCACTTTCTCCAACTACCTTTCTAGAGACATCTCCTCTACTCCCTGGCCTTCTCACCCAGCAGCCAGCCAGCTATGCTGCCTCTGTGCTGCTGTGCTCAGTTTCACCTCCACTGACACACCACCTGGGTGGGGCGGGTGTGTGTGTGTGTGTGTGTGTGTGGTGTGCTGAGAGTGTGTCCTCTGATGTGTGAGGTAGGGACTCTGCCTCAGACAACCCTTCGATCCCCAAGCTGAATGAAAGAATGAATGAACTCCTCCTGAGGCAACAAAGAGCCCCACCTTCTCTCTTATTATTCAAGGCAAAAGATATAACTTGAACAAAATTTATTGGTTTTCCTCGACTGTCTCTGGTCCGGCTTTGGAGGAGCTTTCTGGGTTTATCTGGTCTTGTTTCCGGGCTGCTGCTGCTGCAGCTTTTAAAGCCCTTTTTTGCTTCTTTAGCTTTTGAGTCTCCTGGAAAACCTGGAGATGGAAGAGAGCAGGAAAAAGACTTTGTAGTCCTACGTAAAACCTGACTGGGAGCAGATGGGCTGGAAACGGACACCCCCAGCTGGTCACCCTGGGCCTTTCTCCATGGGGTTGGTGGCCTGTGAGCCACCACAAGGCCTGGGGTCCAGATCCATGCCTTGATCAGAAAGAGATGCCCCTTCCCTTCTGTGGTCTCTACCACAGTCCCAGAATGGGGCCAACCAACACAGCAGTTTGGATTCCTACCCGAATGCACAGAGCCTTCTTGGTCACCCAGCGGCGGTGGGCTTTTCGGTAGTACAGAGGGGGTAAGGTGTACTCAATCCCCAGCTCCTTGCATGTCTTCTCAAAGACTTTATAGTTGGTCTTACGGAGGTTTTTGAGCATCTTTTTCCTCTGGTCAATGCTCATCAGCAGATGGCGCTTGTGGGCTTTGTCCTGTAAGAGAGGTATCCCTTTGGGATCCCTTTCAGTATTATATACATAAGTCGTGTACCACTTCATAGTAGTAACAAAGGACAGTCATTTTGTCATCTCACTGAAACCTCCCAACAATCTCATGCAAACATTACTGCAACTCTGAGGGAAGTAGTGTTACTGTTATTCTCATTTTACAGATGGGAAAATAAAGGCTCAACAATGTTACCAGGTCTTTAATATGGGTCTACTGGTCCCACTCCAAATCTCATGCTCCCTCCCTACACTACCCACTCAGCCTCTCATAGCTCAGCAAACTGAAAAAGTGGAGAAAGAGGGGAGAACATTTGCCCTTCCAGGAGACCCCCACCCACAGCCAGGTGCTGCTCCATGAGAAAATTCTGCATTGAGGCTGGTGATCCACACTCCAGTACAAAATTCTTACCTCCATGGAACAGGCTCAACCAGCTCCAGGGAACACTGCGGTGCTAGCCTGGAGCAGGACTGGTCTGTATTCACAACTGTGTGTTTATTAAAAATACCAGCAGCTGCTTAATTTCAACGGCCCTGTGCCCAACACTGTGTTGATATATGGCGTAAAGGGGAAGAATATGTGCCCTGGAGTGAGATTACCTAGTTTCCTGTCCTAGCACATCATTTCCTAGGGCTGTGCTTTGAGGAATAATTTAACCACTGCATGCCTAGACGACTGCTCTGGAAAATGGGATGGAAAGATGGGTATCAAGGTTAAATGAACTAGTGCATCTAAAGTATTTAGCAAGAGGCCTAACTACTTTATTTGCATCATGTTGGCTGCTTTTATTATTTCATAAAGTCCTTGCAATCTTGTCAGTAGGTACTATTATGATCCCTATTTTATAGACAGAACTGAGGCTCAGACATGTAAAGTAACTTTCCCGGAATCACATAACTAGTTAAGTGGAGCTGGCAGAGCTGGGCTTTGAATCCAGAATAACATGACCCCATTCATGCATTCAACAAATATTTACCAAGCATCTCTTATGTGCCAGACACTGTGACCATGTTCTAAAGTTTGTGTCCTTGACCATTGATGACAGCACAGCCCTGGAAGGCTTCCATCTCTCTACTGAAGGCAGGAGGGAAATGATTTTCCCACTGCAGTTGAGGGCTGGGCACTCTGGTATTGCAGCTTCCTGGCATCTCAAGCTGCCTCTTTGGACTCAGAGCCCTTCACCGCGCAGACTCCTCTGCCCTAGCTGCTGGGGTTCAGCTGTGAGCAATGCTCAAGGCTTACCTTTCGATGTTTCTGCATGTGTTCTTCATAATTGCGAATCTTGACTGTCAAGGCAACAACTGAAACCACAAACCACAGAGGATAAGAGCCGGGTACAGAGGAAGAAAGGGCCCGGGTCTGGGTTATGTATTAAGACCTCAATGAATAACAATCACCAAGGCTCTTGTGCAGCTCTCTGTAATTCCCAAAGCACTCCGAATTGCAAGATCCCAAAAGACTTTGGATTATCTTTCCGTTAGAAAGCAAAGCCTAAGGAAGGGACGCTCCTTAATATTAATAAAGGTATCACCCCCAAACCATAGCAAATAGGATTCTTAACAGTACAATAAATTACAGGATTCCTATTAACGATTCAGCTTTGCGCTAGCCTATGAGATAAGATCAAATTCCCAGACTGCCAAGGGTCTGCTCCTCGCCTTTCCCCTTCCAGCTGCTACCCTTATCTCTGTGATTTTACTAATGAGTTTTCAGAATTATCAACTCCCACTCATCTCCTAAAGTCCCAGAATATCCTTCCTTCAGGTATTCTCATTTGATTCCTACCTATATTGGAAAAATGGGGGCAAAGGCAAAAGCAGAAGGTGGCCCCAAGGAGAGGTTGTGACTATGGCAGGCCCTTCCTGTACACACACTGAGTTCTGGGAAAACTCAGGAAGGGCAGTGGGAACCTTGGCTCTGACCACATGGCCCCTTCACACCACCTTAGCTGTAGACTGGAGAGGCAGAGAGGCGAATTGGGGTTCCTGAGGAACCCTGCTGAGCTCACACAGAGGTACAAGGCAGAACCTGGGTGCTGACTCCGGCGTCACACAGCTCAGGACACACAGTCTGTTTTCCTTGCCCGTGGTCCTCCCTGTCTTTCCCTTTAAAAAGCCACATCTAATTCCTAGTGTACTTGTAGAGGAGAGCTCTGGCTCAAGTACCAGCTAGCAGACTCCCCTGTACCCCAACTCCCCAAGGGCCCCCTGACCAACTTCGAGCCTCCAGGGAGCGGGTGTCTTCAAGGTTTTCCACAACCTTGTTCATCAATTGCTCTTGCTTGATTTTTAGCTTCTCCTTCTGTTGAAGACAGAGACAGAGAATCGGTGAAGTCTGCCACCCCGTAAGAACTAGCCCTCACACTTCCAATGCCATGGCTGCAGGCGTAGCAACTAGGCCATACGGCTCAGGGCCTGACTTCACCCTGTTACCAGGGCCTGGCCTCTGGCCAACCCCATGGCTATTCACATCTCGGTGAGCCCAAGGCCAATGCTACTGACAGGAGAAATGGCTTGTTGGATGAATGTCCCGAAAGCTTGCTCATTCTTTCAGGCATCAGATCTTTATTGAGCACCTACTGTTTGTCAGGTGCTAGGGGCACAATGGGGGAACAAGGCTATCCCTGCCCTTGAGCTGCTCAGTCTGGAGGTATTAACAACTAGACACAGAACGACATTGGTGTGAGTGCTGTGACTCGTGATGCATGGGATGGGGTGTTACCAGAGGAAAGGACTGAGGGAGGCCAAGTTTCGGCACAGTCCACTTACCTGGTTCGCCATTTCCAAAGATAAGAGCCTTTTTACAACATCATCAACCCTGTGGAAAAATCACAGATATGAGAGAAAGATGTAGGGGTAGAGTAGAAAGGGGAAGCAACGCTGTTTTCATTTTAGTTTGAAAAGCAGGGAT